AGAGAGAGAGAGAGAGAGAGAGAGAGTGAGTAAAATTCCCGAAATGATCTCTTTCCCTAGAAATTCGTTTCCTAAGACCCTATTCTTTCCGTTAATTGTAGTTGATGAAATGCACTAAATAATTTTGTAAGGACGAAATTAAATTGGCTAAAAATGGGTATTTCCAACGAAAAGAAAGAGCCTGTTGTGTAAAAAGCATGACAAGTTCGGCACTGGACCATCCGGTCCAGTATAGTAGACTGAATCTGATAGGGGACGGGTTCGCCTGTTGCCGGTTTGTACCTGCCAGTCCGCTCTGGTCCATGTATCATTGTTGAATACTCTCTGTTATGTTGGGCCTTGGGGTCTTGCATTGCACGAGTTGTTTACTAATGATCTCCTCAATTTGCCAAAAAGTTTGCCTTTGTGATGCATATTTTGATAGGTACCATCCATGTAATTTTGTCCTAAATCTCTGTCATGATGTTGTAACCCTCTTAGGGGCAAATGGACCTTGCCATTTCACGTTACTGCATGCAAGGAATCTTCTTGTTATTCTATGTTATTGGTAACATTCACCTAGATGCCATATTCCCAATGATGAAGAGATTTAGTGTGTGGAGGAAGCAATCATTTCATTGGGGATCAGTACTCTTGTGAACGTGTGCTTAATGAACATTTATATTCTTCTGAGTAGCATGTCTGGTGAATATTACTTTATCAGTAGAAATCTGCAGCTTCACATTTTTATTAGGAATTTAGGTAGGTTGGAAATTAGAATAGGTTTGGAATCTTTGTTGTAAATAGGGTAGATATGGGGCATTTGGGGAATTTACGCACAAATGTGCACTGTGAGTTGCATCATTTTCACATAAATGCTCAAGCGCGTGCTCGCACACACACACACACACACTGTACTTGAAAGTACCTAAGCCTCCAGACAGTCATGATTCTTATTGGCAATTAGTAATATTGTCGGCAATATTTTCCATTTTTATGTTGACCCACATTCCGGTATCAGTTAAAAGCCCAACTGTAAAAAAAGAAGAAAAAGGGTTTAAATTATGTTTTAAAGTTAAAAAGGTTTCATCAGTTCATTGACTCAGAAGCTCTCTTTTGATTTTATTCATCTACATATGTTAGACATATCCTGACCTGAATTTCTTCCATGCAGGTTAGAGAGTTTTTTGCTAGTCAGCGTTCACGAGTGAGAAAACTTTTTCGGTTGACCAGAGAGAAGGCTATGAGAAACGATAATGCTTGTGAAGCATCGCTTGATGGACCTGCCACTAATTCTGAGCATACCATACATGCTAGTGAGCAGCCTATTGAGCAGCCTCTTGAGGATCTTGTTGAGCAAGCCACAAGTTTGAATGTTGTAAAAGAAGATCCATCTTGCTCCTTGCAGGGGGATGTTTCTCCTGGAATTGAACCTTCTGATTCAAACTTTCTGGAGAACATTTTCTCTCTAATGAGGAAAGAAGAAACATATGCTGGGCAGGTGAAACTGATGGAATGGATTTTGCAGATACGCAATTCTGCAGTCTTATATTGGTAATGATAATGTATTTCATTCAAATACACAAATATGGCTTTATCTTTTCTTGTGGGTGGAAATTGTTCTCATATTGGTCGGTAGAAATTGTTCTCATGTTATTCACATTATCTTTTTCATAGGTTTTCAACGAAAGGGGGCATAGTGATCTTGGCGAAGTGGTTGAGCGAGGCTGCTTCCGAAGAGCAAACAACTGTTCTTCTTGTCATTTTCAAGGTTTGAGCGTATTTAATGGCATTAGGGGTAATCAAACATGTCAACTCATGTTGTAAGCCTATAAAAAAAGCTCATGTTAGGCTTACATTGGTGGTGGTTGTTGCTCAGGTCCTTTGTCACCTACCTTTTCACAAGGCTTTACCAGTACAAATATCAGCTATACTGCAAACTGTTAACAAGCTACGATTCTACAGGACATCAGGTAGAGTAAATTCTACTTGTCAATGAACCTATCTAGCTTGTGTTACCGTTTGTCATATTGGTTCCTGGCATGAAATTTTCCACATTTATTTGGTAATTTTTTGTATGACTTTGTTGCATGAACAAATTTATGCTTTCTCCAGTAATTTGATTTTTAATCACCAATTTGCTATTTCCTTGCATTGTTCGACTTCTCTCCATTGGGTTTTCTTTTCATTGAGCCTGTTATTTTTCCTCCAAGTTTCATGTAGTAATACAGTCTTCTTTCCTTCAAAGCATTTGTTTGGTCTATTGTGAATTTGTGGCCAAGCTTTAATCCAAAAGGAGCACGTACTGTGGGCTTCATATCATTTTCTCTGATATCAGTAAGATTCCCTCTACTGAAGGCTCCTCCAAGGGAATTCTAACGTCATACTAACTAGCCTGAGCTGCTAAAAGGTTCAGGGGGCTCCTTCATGTTACCTTTTAAGGCATGTTAGCTTTTAAGGAGCTGATGCATGATGCAAACAAAATCGTTGTGCAAGTGGGCAATAGTAGTATTTTGAAGGCCTCACCTTGTCTTGATTCACATGGGGCCTCATTTATGTGGCTTATGTGTCTTAAAAGCTAGTCATATTATTGCTTCTGTTTATTGAACTTTTTGGCTGATGTATTTGTAATGTATTTATTTGTTTATTCTTGATGCTTTTCTCTTCTTCTAACTTCAGTATATTTGTGTCCACTGAGTCTATTCTTCGGTTTGGAGATGGTGGCCTTGGGTAGGGGTGGCAATGGATCCGGACCCAACCCAGGATCGGGTATGGTCAAAAAATTGGACCCAGTGGGTTGGGTCCGGGTCCAAATATTGGACCCGAACACTATTCTGGTATGGGTCTGGGTGGACTTTACCCGAATAGTGTTATTATTTAAATAAGGAAAATGGTTTTATAGGGCTGCAGCCCTATCAAAATAAGGAAAACCTCAATTCATAACTCATCAAAAAATGCAATTCAAGTATTGAAAAACCTTTAAATCAAGCATCTCAACGTGAACATTATGGTTGTGAAAAAAAAACATAGGATTTCAGGTTCTGAACGTAGTGTATATTGCAACAGATCATCCAGACCATCCATTTTACCCTAAAAGTAAGTGTTAACATATTCGCAAGATCTGTACCATTTTTTAAGTTGCAAATGTTATATTGGGAGTGTTGAAAATTAATTTTAGAGCCATAATGAAGATTTCTTATGCCCAAAGCGTTTTCCGAATAAGGATTTGAGGTGAGGCTTTCTTTTGTTTTCATAAAGCCTGGCCCTATAGAAACTTCATCCTTTAAATAATATTTCATAAATAATATTTAAATAAATTTCTTGGGAACTGGAGGAGTTGCTTTTCTCAGAAGCTTTAGTCGAAGGTAGAGTTGGAAGGATGGCATGAGGTGGTCTGGGATGTCATTGCTTTCAGCTTCATGAGGCTTGCTTGTTTATGCTGCCCCAAAAGGTGCTTCTGCAATTGTTTGAGAGTGACACCGGTGCATGGGGAGGCTGCTTCCGGTAGCCAGGGCGCTGAAAAAGCACATGACTCCAGCGCTTTCCATGCATCTAATTTTTTTATTGAAGTTACGGTTTTGTTTGTTATGTGCTAGAATCTCCTGTCGATTGAATAAATGAACTTCTTTTTCTTTTTTATTGTCCTATAGTGGGATGTACCCAAATCTGCTAGTTTTTGGGATGTAAAGCCAGTGAAATTGTCCAGTGGGTTTGGATGCGTTAGGGTATTGCTAGCATTTTAGATGCAAATTAGAAAGACTACTTTCACGCCAAAACTGCCATTAAAAAATATTGGACTCCCGACTTGATTTTTTTTTTTGTTGCTTCTCTCTCTTTCAGACCACGCTTCCTCTCTCAAGGCCCCCCAACCTTACACACTCTCTTTCACCCCCTCCCTCCTCTCCCCTTTTCTTCTCTGGCTCGTCTCTGTCTCTCTCTCCATTGGCTCTTTGTAGAAGAGGGTTTATCCTGGAGAGCACTGCAAGCTTGTGGTTTCATGAAGGGGGACAAAAAGCTCCCTCTTTCAATCAGCTACCTCTAAGAAGAAGAAGCAGAGGGTTTTATGCAGAGAACTGCAAGCTTGTGGTTCCATGAAAATGGAAGTGGAGGGGCAACAAGATGATTCTTGAGGGGCTATGTCTGCCATTGAAACAAATTTTCTCAATATTGACTGGTGAGGAATTTCAGGGGAAGCTCTAATGTTTGTTTTCTTTCTGTCCTCTTCTTCGTACATTTTTTATTTCATGCCGTTCACAGTTGGAGGAGCAGGTCAATCATAGAATGGAAAATTCAGCAACCATTTACAGATTAATGAGAAAAATTGCATAAATTCGTTCCATCATATGACAATAATAAAATCAGCCCCTTTTAGAGAGAAGAAAAATAGTTGGTTTAATCATTCCATCATATAAAACGAATTAAAGGAATTAAAACCATCCATTAAACGATCAAAAAAAAAAAAACCATCAATTTGGAGAGAGGGAGAGAGAGAGAGAGGTACATGTCATGGGTCCATCATGTAACGAGAATCCGGAAACAGTAAGTTACTTCATGCACATTTGAAGAGTAGTGGGCTTCAAAACCCTAGTTTACCAAGGGCTCAAACCACTTTGCGGGCAATTACTTCGAAGCCCGCTCTTTAATCTCACAACCTGAATTTTCTTATTTGGAGAATTTTATGAATGGATGGAATATTGTTTCCGTGCCTGAAATTGTACATTTTTTTACAAAGGAGGGGGTTACGATTTCGGCAAGTAATGGAGGTTTCATGCATTGGGTCATTGATGGTGTTTGTGTGGGTAGGTTTGCAAAGGTTGATGGGAGCCCATGTTGGGTTTCCTGGATTTGGCTATTGGACAACGAAGGGAGAGAGAGAGGAGTTATGGAGTACTTGGGTTTAGGAGATTAATTATGCAGGGAGGTGAGAGATCTCTTGTTCTCTACCAAACTGCTCATGGACATGATAACGTAAAATGGCAAGAACTTTATATTCAGCTTAAGAGAACTTAAATATTTTTTTGTGTGAAGAATTTTAAATCTTGCATCTAAACTGGCTCTCTATGGTTTCTGCATATTTTCAAACTTGAGCTAGTAGCAAAGCTACTCCAATAAACATTCTCTCATACGCTTTAAAGTTCATTCTCTGGGTGGTTGATGGTTAACTTCACTGTTTTTGTTAAACCAAGGAAGCATGCTTGATGATGAACTGTCAGTACCATTTAATGGAAGTCAGAAGCCAATTAAACGATAAGTTAATTTTTTTGGTCAGAATTACTCTGAATCAGCTTCTCCTGGACAATTAAAGCTCTAGATAAAATCAGACAATACTGAATTTGTGTGCTTGTGCTGGTAAGGTAAATTACCCCTAGTTTTAGTGAAGTAGTGTGACTTAAAATATGAAATGACAAATGAGCTAAAGCTTGATGTGAGCCTTGCAATACGTTCTTCGTTTTTGATAAATATGAAAACTAGCTAAATCGAGAAAGTTGTGGTTTCTTCTTGGCATTCGGTTTTCCCTCACGACTATATTTCTACAGAGTATTTAGACCCAAAAGATAATTCTTTTGGATATTTCATATTATATTGTGCTGTTTTCTCCTCTCTATGTCTATGCGTTTTTGATGGAACCTTTTGAAACTCATTTGATCTGATTTGAAGATCAGACATCTCAAACAGGGCAAGGGTTTTGTTGTCAAGATGGAGCAAACTATTTGTGAGGAGCCAGGCCATGAAGAGAATCTTCTCAAATGCATCTTCTGATGCACAGAAAGCCATCATCCGACAACAAAGGTAAATAAAACTTGTCTTCCCTGTCTTATCCAAAATGCAGGACCCTTTCTATTAGAGAAATAATGAAAATGCCCCCATGTTTAAAAAATTCTATGAGAATAGAACTTTCTAAGAATAGTGATGGAGGTATCCTTCTCCCTGCATCCCCAAATTCCATGTGGGGGATGGGATGTAACTGCACAACTGCTCTCTCACAGGGAGAGAGGCAGAAGGCAACAAGCTTTGTAGGTCGTCCATCTATTGTTTGCAAATTTGTTTTTTAAAGAAGATGGCTGGCTTTGTTATATTTTCATTCATGGGTGCTATTGTTGATCTAAGGGTTTTGGTGTTATTTTATTAAAAATGGATGCAATTTTGTAGCCCATCTTCTTATAATTCTAGTGCGCCCTTCTTGGAGCAGGATCAATGAAATCCTCAGTGACGGATCATGGCAATCAAAGATTGATATTCCTGTAAGAACTTAGACCATACCCCTGCCTGATAGATGCTTTAACCTGTTATATATGAATAAGCATGCCTGAATTACATTTCCTTATTGTTGTTCCCTATCTTGATTATAGGAAGAAATTCTTGCTCCCACTGATGAAATCCCCGAAAATTGCAGGTAACGTCTTTGCTTTTTAATTTGTTTTTTTACAGCCCTTGAGTTTGGAAGCTAATATTTGTTCTTCTCTGGCTATTAAATATCTTTTAGTTTTTCTTTTGAGTTTGCCGATATTTTAATTTTTACTTTTTTCTCTACAGAAAATCAGAGCCTCCTAATTCTTTGAAGCTGCTTCCTAACGCGTCTGACGATTCAAACAGAAGACTTGTTCGGATTATTCCTTCCTCACGTATCCAAAAATACTCAATTTTTGTTTAAAAAGTTATTCTTGTGAACAATGGAATGGTTAAAAACATTGAGCTATAAATGTAATAGATGGGAGGAGGTTTTCTTTCTTACTAGTGTTACACAATTTTGAGGGCCGAGTTTCATGAGAAATTGGATGGGTAGATGACCGAAACAAACCACTACTTTCTCTAGGAATGTGGTCCCTGCCCTTACAGACCTCATCTTTGTCCTTTTTGGTTGTGTTGGTGGCTAGTATGTTGGTAGGTTGGGTAGTGGTTTAGGTCTAACTCGGAGTGACTCATCGTCATCATCATCATCAGAGTCTTTTCTCAACTATTTGGGGTCGGCTATATGAATTCTGGTTTGCCATTCTGCTCAATCAAGGACCATACCTTTAATGAGGCCATAAGTCCCCATATCTTTTCGCACTACTGCTAACTATGTCTTTTTGGGTCTACTGTTTGTCCTTTTTAAGCCTTACATTCGAACCAACTTGCACCTTCTAACTCGTGGGTCTATGCTGCACATTGTTAGCCCACCTAAGTCTGCTTTATCTCATCTTATCGCCAATTGGAACCATACCTAAGTTCTCCATATTGTATTCATTTCGAATTCTTTCACTTTTTGTCTTGCCACTCATCCATCTCAACATACTCATCTCAACTACACTTATCTTATAAGTATGTTGTTTCTTGACCGCTCAACATTCCATCTCATAACTCAAAGGTAGTCTCACAGTTGTCCTATAGAACTTCGCCTTTAGCTTCATCGGTATTCGGCGACTAAGAAATCAAAATTAAACGACCAAAAGGAGTACCATGGATTGGGATGCTCCTAGTACAACTCAAAAAGAATTGCTTAAGAACAATTGTTGCATGCGAGCTGGACCACTTTTCTATGCGGTCCAGAGGTATAAAGCATCCATCTTAAAAATGGATGCAAATAGGTGGTCCATCTAAAAACAATTGTAACTAACGGTTCAAATATTTTCTTAATATAATTATTATTTCTAGTTGTCAATTTTTCTTTTTCATATTTATGATCTCCATGTTAAAGATTATATATTCTCTAAAAATTAGGATCAAATTATATTTTTAAAAATATATTTATTTCCAAGTCCGCATTTCTACAATATGCGGGCTGGCCGCATGCTAACCGCGTCCATTTCTTAATGGGGCTAACTTTTACGCCCCACATTTTAAGTAACTGCACCCAATTTTACTATGCACATACAACTTTCTCTTAGATGAGCAAATCTAAATTTTACAGATGTGTGGGGCAACTAAAAGTTGGTTTAAAAACGAGCTCCTTAAATTTTATGGAAAATGCGTAGTTGGAATTGTGGGATAAGATATGTTCTACAAATGATTGTAGCCATATTCATCACTTCTTCAAAGAAAGTTGTCTTTCTCACCTTGATTATTGTACTTGCTGCTCTTGGCTATGCAAGTTGTATATTCCCTGTTCGTGTTCTGCCTTTTGGATGCCTTTTTTTTTACATGAATTGCCGCTGTTAATTATAGAGATTCTGGTGGTGCTGCTTTCATTATTTCCAAATCTTGAGGTCCATTTGACCTCATAAAGGCATATTTTGAACTTTCAAAAAGGGAATGACAAAAACAAGATATCATGGCAACTAGGGTTCCACACAGGCATATACTTCTGTTTATGTATTGTTTTGTATCGTGATCGCACATTGTGGATGGATGTGAAAATCACAATCAGAAATCTTATCCTATTATTATGACCTCTTCACAATTATAAATTTATAATTACTGCATTTGCTTCTTTTCCCTTCCCTGTGTGTTCCTTGACCTGTCGAGCAGAGGCCAAAGAACGCCGTAAAGTCCTTCTCGTTGAGCAACCAAGCCGAAAACGTGCTAATAGAAATGTGCAGGTTGCCCGAGCTGCTTCGGAAGCTAGGGCACGGCCATTATCAGCTGACGATATTCAGAAGGCCAAGATGAGGGCCGTCTTCATGCAAGGAAAGCACTGCAATGATGGTGTCCACAAAAGTACTCAGCTTCTAAAACCCCGGGTCACCAAACCACCCTCACTATCTCAATCTCGAAAGAAATTGAATGATTCTCCATTAGAAGAGCCTGATTTTGAGCCCACTCGACCTGAGGTTGAGCCTTTATCTCGAGCTTCTCAACGAATCAGGGACCCAGAGTCAAGTGGTCGGGTCCATGATGAACCCACCCGGGGCTCGGACCTGGGCTCGGGCATTTGTGGTCCTTTGTCAGATCAGTTGAGGCAGGTTCAGACTGCATGGCGGACGCCTCCAGGTACATACCCTTTTTTGTTTTTGTTTATTTATCAAAGAAATTTGATAACTTGTAGTTTCACACCTGAAGAGATAGAGAATCAAGTTTCCATTGCAACTACAAAAGAAAGTTGTTTGGTGGACAAACCAACTTCAAGCAAATTTGAAATTTGTGGGGAAATTACTGAGATTCTTCTGTTTCTAAATAATAATGAGCCTAGGTCACCAATTTTTAAAAAGCCACAAGAGGACCTAAACAATGGTAGTTGCCTTGCATGAACCTATTCACATTCTCAGTTTGTGTTGTGGAGAGAGAAAACAATAACAACATGCTCAGAGAGAGAGAGAGAGAGAGAGCGCAAAAGCAAAATGCCATGGAACCGATAGAGTCTAAAATGGAGAGAGAGATTGTCCAAGGGAAAGGTTTTTATACTTCCCCTATAGTATGGAAGTTCTATACTTTTCTGCCATCCAGCCATTAAATTTAGATCCAGCAATTAAATTTAGAATAAATAAGTCAGTCCATTTGTTTTAGATCTGATGCCTCAGGGTATTATATTTTTAATGTTTATTCTACAAATTATATGAAATTTGGTTTGTGCCATCATCTTAATGGAGTGTACCTGAAAAAAATATAAAAAAATAAAAATACTACAAATTATACGAATATGAAATCTGGTATGTACCATCATTTCAATGGGGTGCACCTAAAAAAAATATAAACAAATAAAATACCTCAAAAATTGGTGTCAAAATGTTTTGTCGAAAAATAAAGTAAAAATAAAACAGCGCTGAGGTGTAACATTGTAATTGAATCCATGTCAGCCATTCGTTTAGATCTAACGGCTAGATAAAGGAATAATATAACTACTATTAGAGGAAGTATAGAACGCATGCCCTTGTCTTTGGCCGAGTCTAGAATGCAAAGAGCTTATGTGTAAGGGAGCACTAGAGACAGGGGGGGGGGACAGAGGGAGAGAGAGAGAGAGAGTAGAGATATGGAGAGAGTCCAAAGTGTCTCAGGCGTTATTTCCACTGAATGAGAATCTGAAATAAGGACTTCTTGTGTGTGTCTTGTCAATGGCGGATGGGTACCCACAAGGCACATGTGTGTGTGCAGCCGTGTGCTCCATCCGCATATTTTTGGAGACACGTGAATGTCATAGGCATGTAAATATATATATATGTACAAATGCTTTTCTTATTACCTTGATTGCTGTAAGCGCAAGGCATATACATATACTGACTAAGGAGAACAAGAAAAAGCTTCTGTAGCATATGATCATTGGAGGATTGAAGTATCTTTGCTACATTCCTATGTTTGAAAAGTCGGCCGCCTGGCTAAGTGGCTGGGACGCCTCACTGGGCCAGTGGGTAGCCGACTGGTCGTAGAGCCTCTATGCCTCCCTGCCCATGGCCGTTTTGGTGAGGGCCAAAAATGTCACTTCCCTGTTAATAAGAGCGAAATCATAGTTGGGGACTGGCCTCCAAAACCCTAGCTATCTATTCTTTGCCCCCAAAACAAACTTTTTTAGCTCAAAATCGCAAAATTTGAAGGATAGGAATTCATATTTGAAGTTTTGGATTTCTTGCGAAATTGATAGGCATTCAGCCCAAAAACTTTTTGGGATTGAAGAGGTTGCAAAAGAGAGATTTTGGTAACTTAAAGTGTCTGATTCATGCCTATTTCATTTGCGTTTGGAAAAGTTGGTAAATTTGGTTGTTTATACTCAGGATTTCTTTTTTTTTGGAAAAGTTAGTAAATTTTGTTGTTTATACTCAGGATTTCTTTTTTTTTTAAGTATTGTGTTGTGCTGTACTTTTTATCATTTTCTTACTTTTTTGAAATTTGGCTTTACATTTAGAATGAAATTTGTAAGTGTTTCTTTTTCTTTTAGGATTTGCTATTTTTGCGATTATAATATGTTTTTAGATATTCATGGCTATATTTGGTTTTGTTTCTAATGCAAATTTCAAATCTGAAAAACAACTCTCCAACACCCCAATAAGTCACCGCCTGGAACATTGGTATGTTATTTCGTTTATCTCATCCGGTTGACCCAAAGGAACGTCCACCTGCGCTGACACGCATCTCGCTGGAATTTCGGTCCACTTTCGCCACTATTTCAAATTCCACTTCATCTGATGCGTATTGCGAAGTACATATTTTGTTCTCATTCTCCCCAGGCATCAAGCTTAATTTTCTATTTTAAATGTTCCTTATAACTTTGAGTAACTGAATGGTACTGATAACTTCATACAATTTCTTTGGGATTTCAGGCTTATTGCTCTTCAAGCATTTTTATGCCTCACATACTCTAGATGGATATTTCATTTTCTTCCATGAAAATTGACATCTGAAATTTTTTAGTACAATCACAAAGCGCTTTCAGTCTAATTCTAGATTCCCAGAAATAATTATGTGCATCTATAAGCGTGGTCAAATAATGCTAGAGTTTGGTAACTCTCATAAACCTAACTTTATTATAAAAAAAACTCTCATAAACCTAACTTGCCCCTGCGTATACAGCATAAAAAAAAAACTTGCCCCTGCAAATGGAGATGCTCTTAAAGATATTTACATCTCTCTCTCTCTCTCTCTCTCTCTCTCTCTCTCTCTCTCTCTCTCTCCTCTTCCTCTCTACT